TATATAAGCAGCACCTTCCACATCCTATCACCACAGCTACTGCTCTCCGCAGCTATTCAACTGCTCTGAAGATGGAGGCGCTATGTTCCTCCGAAACGTCGGCCAAAACGAAGAATACACGGTGCCTAAACCCAGAAGACAACTTTCTTATGAAATATCTGTTCATGCAGTTATCCCAATCACTCTGGTCCCATTGTTCTCCTCAGATCATTTTCCTTATACACTATCTCTGAGTAGTTACTATAGGATTCTGACGATGGTGTATAACACATAGAGATATTGGGTTTTCGGACTTTATCCATCGTCCTGGTTTTAAGAAAACTAAGAAAAACACGACGTTTCGGAAANATCTGTTTCCGTCCTCAGGTGAGGGAAAACACCTATTCTGTTGGGTCCCTTAGAAAGAGCTAGCCTCAGTCACTGGACCAGTGATTGAGGAAACAGATCCAGTTTCCAAAACATCGTGTTTTTCTTAGTTATCTTAAAACCAGAACGATGGATAAAGTCCAAAAACCCAATATCACTATCTCTGAGTTCTTCCATACAGTGAGAGATTGATATTTCTGTCCCGCATAAACTAAATGCACAGGTTCATCTAGAGAGTGTAATAGTTATCAAACCCCTAACCTCTTATGCAGTCCTGACTTACATTGCCTGCAATATTGATGAGGGCCTGCTGCTGGATCCAGGCCACATCCCCAGACCATGTTTTTCACCAATCTGGCTCCAACCTGCACTCTGTGTTGCAGTTAATCTCTGCTTCAGATGTTCTGCAGTGAATATTTTTTGTTCATTTCTTGTCTTCCCATCTTCCTCTCCTCTCATCCTGCATTTGATTAACCTAACAATATTAGATGAAGAGTATAAATATGAAGCTCTGCATCATGGATTGTTATCCCCCCACGAACCTGTTACTTCTGACATCTTCATACTAAATATTCCCCTCAGTTCCCTGTTCTCAAACACACTTAACCTGTCTTCTTCCCTTAGGGTGAGCAACAAAGTTTCACAGCTGTGTAAAACAGTAGATAAAGTCATATTTTTATATAATTTAATCATTAGATCAGAAATATAAAATTGATTTTGAACCGAATGCCAACAAACATTTCCTACATTTAATGTGCTCTTAACTTTATCTAGAATACAAGATATTTTCAGGAACATGATTTTTTTTTCTTACTATGTTCCCCAATTATTTGAATCCTGTCACATTTTTCAAAGTATTTATAATTGTTGTACTTCTCTCCCCCTCCCCTTTTGTTTCAGCATTTTCCCTGTTTACCAACTTTGTATCATAATTCTATGTTGCATATTTATGATTTTGTCTAATAAATTAACCATTGTCAACACCAGTAATGATTATTTTTCTGTCTGCATATCTGTTCTAGGACCCTTGAAATGTGGAGCCAAGGTCGAAGGGACAGTGTTGTTCATAGATTTCCTGAATCAGTGTGTTGAGTTAACTCTCTGTCATGGTATCATGAAACGGATCAATACAGTGCAAGGTAGATTCACAATTATGACTCTGTGACCATCATCCATTGATAGTTTTATCAGTGATGAGTTTTTTCAATGAAAGATACTGCTTTTGTATCTTCCTGTCATCAGTTCTCTTGATTCTGCATCCAGTTGTTCCCTCTTATAACAACATCCTTATTCATTCTTCCCTATCCTCACACATTAAAGGATTAACACAGATGTCCATAGAGCAGAACATGTCAAGAAAATTGTGAGTAACATTATGTGCATTTATGCGAATTTATTTGTATATATACATTCTTTTTCACAGTTGAAATAAAATTAGACTGTGAATCGTGTAATAACAAAGATATGGAAGGAAACTGTGGTTATATCTTTTAATTTTTTCCATATTGGTTATTTTTTCTTCAGATGGAAAACTTGACAATGATCTGGGTGTTGGAACCGGAGTACGAGGTGAAGTGTTAAGTGTGCGTCAAGAGATGATTGTGATTGTTTTGAAAGGAGCAGGAAGGAAGCAGCTTGCATATCTTCCATCACGATGTCACATGAATGATTTGGTGCCAGACTTGCAGCAATACAGAATCGGTGAAACTAGCAAGATGATAGTGCAGGCGTAAGTTTTAGTCTTGAGAGTGTACAGACTCTTATATATTTTTGTGTCCAATTGGGTGAACAAGGTTTTATTAAATGTCCCAAATGTGCAAAAGAGAGGTGATATCTCCTCCTCTTCATGATTCTCCTCACAAACTTTGTAAGGAGTTTGGTGATGTGTTGTACCTCGGAGCAACACAAAAAAATTGTCAAGTATATTTAATTTGGATCCATATTAGTCTCCAAAAGGTGACTGCCTCTGTCATCTAGTGGTCAGAATTCCTGGCTACAGATCCAGAGGTCCCAAGTTCGATTACCGGCGCTACCAGATTTTCTGAGAAGTAGTGGGTCTTGAATGGGGTCCGCTCAGCCTCGTGAGAATAATGGAGGAGCTATTTCAAGGAAATAGTAGCTACAGTCTAGAAAACCGTGATTAATGGCCATAGGGATCCATTGCGCTGACCACACAACATCATCTGTCTGCAAAAAGTTGGCACTAACTTTGCTGACAAGCGACAGTCGCTCGGTCGGTATAGTTCGCTTGTGGACTACAGGCCACAGAGTTTTTTTTATTATTTTTTTATTTAAAGTCTCCAAAGGCTTGGCAGGGGATTCAGAACAATACCCCTATCATTGGATATTTTAAAAATAACTTGTGGCTCTTTATATGTACTGTGAGTTTGACACCATAATTTCAACTTGAAGTAACTTGTAAAGTTATCACGAATAGATGGACCCTTGGATATTCTTGTAGAAGGTAATTAGAGATGAACCCCCCCCTTTAATATTCCACAATTTAAGGTTTTCCTTAATGTAACGTTAAGTGTTAATTATGCCAAATCAGTAATCTCACAGTTGAAAATTGCCTCCCTTTAAGGTTTTCTCCAGTTTAGTTCCATGGGTCCCTAAGAAACTTTGAATGGGGGTTTCACTATACTAACAGAAGGTGTACACAGCATCATAAGCAGAGATGTTACCTTTTCTCGTGTGTCTTCTTGTGACTAACCAGACATTGGCAGTTGATTGCATAACAGTCTTATTTTTTGGAAGGCACAGCCTCAGGTTTTAGACCAGAAACTATCAGGAGGGCTTTCATGGTTTTACTCAGTGCTTGCAGGCAAGTGCCAGGATAGTGTCTCAAATTATTCCACATTTTTTCCTTCAGTGTCCTCTTCAGTTCAGTGTTTAATAATTTTCCTGTAATTGAGTGCTGTGTGATCTGAAGAGCTATTGAAACATTGTTAAATAAACAGGGAATAAATAAAAATTCATGTGCATGAAATGAATAAATCACAACCATCTGAACTTTGTCTCATGTTTATTTCTTTGTCTGTATTTTCTAGTTTGGTTGGTGGAAGAATAATCTGTTTGCAGCAGAAATTTGTTTTTAAACTCATCAAATTGAAAGCAAGAGCAGCAGTTGCTGCAGAATCGGCAAAGAGAAAAGTTGACAGAACATCGCAACACCAGAAGTCTGAGTTGAGTAATGGCAACAGGCTTGGTACATCTGAACAGGAACTGAACACAAGAATTCTGCCCAGAGTCAAGAGACATGAAGGGGCAGGATATGATTCTTGTGAGGGTCCTACAAATGATGATGCATGTGTAAGTGAACCAGAAAATGAAACAAAATCAGGAGAGGAATCTTCAGATGAAGATGAGACAGCTTTTCTGAGAAGACTTGAAGCTAAAGCTATGAAGAATTACTATGGTAACAGCACATCGAATGAGGTGCAGGAAACGTCACATAATTCAGATGATTATATTACAGAACAGGAAATGAAACAAAAGAAGAGGAAAATGCATGAAGAAGGAATTATTGAAGATTGTGAAGAGACTTACAAGAAGAAGATGAAAACAACAGTGCGGGATGAACTGCTTAAAGAATTGAAGGATATTGATCATGAAGGAGGTTGTAACAGTGGAGTGGAAACATTAATACAGAGGAAAGAGATTAAAGAACTGAAAAATTTATATTGTGGTCAGGCAGCGCGATTATCAGTGAGTGCAGGGTTTGTGTGGGACGCAGATCCATCTCTCCTTCCTGCAGCTGCCGCAGCTCAGAAGTCTGACAGTTCATCAGATGAAGAGGAAGTCAGCAAGGTAGGGGGATGATGTAGAAGAATATACTTGCAATCTCCAGCCTTGTATCTCTTGGTTGTTGCCTTAACAGTAATATCTGTATGAAAGCCTTACTCATTGTGTTGCATTACAATGATGGTGCATGCATGTAGTCCAACTGGCCGAGTCTTTTCAGTGCTGCTAACATTCCCAGAATCCCAGACACATATATAACACAACACATCTTTGTTTCCGTATGAATACAGAAGTTGTACAATAAAGGAAGGCACAGCACATTTATTTGCATCACGCTAACCCAAAGGAAGAATGATATGTGGCATATGAAAGCAAAGTTTTCATGCAGCCAGATATTTCTGGCAGACAGTTTTTTTTGATTAACTGAAATGTGTTTGGAGGCATGTGGTAGCATACTTGGTTGAGGCACTATGCTACAAGCTGGAAGGTCGCGGGATTGAATCCCGATGGCTTGGAATTTTCAAGTTACCTAATCCTGCCACACTATGGCCCTGGGGTTGACTCAAGTGTCTAGCAGAAATGAGTACCAAGAACATTCCTGGGGCTAAAGGGTGGCAGGCATGTAAGGCTGACAGCCTTACCGCCATCTGTGAGCCTGTTGTCTAGAAATTGTGAGAGCATCAACATCTCACAATCCTATGGGCCTCCATGGCCTGTTGCAGGGATGCCTTTACCTTTTTTCTTTCTTTCTTTCTTTCTTTTTTCTTTCTTTCTAGAAATGGGTTTTGTTTTGACATTGTGATTTCAGACTGAAGGCAAGTCAAAGAAACTGAGTCGAGTGGAACGCAGGGAGCAAGCACGTCAGGAGGAGGAACGTCTTCGAGCTATAGAACAGAAACTGATGGACTCAGAAACTGGACCACAGTCAGCTGATGATTTTGATAGACTTGTTCTGTCTTCACCCAACAATTCAATGTGCTGGATCAAGTACATGGCATTTCACCTCCAGGTGAGCTGCTTTAATCATTATCATCATCATTGGTTGAATCTTGAAGAAATACAGGGAGGTGTGAAGGTGTTGGTTGGATTTAATAGGCTCAGGATAGGCTCCAACAGTAGGATTTTGTTAACATGTCACTGAATCCCAGTTTCACATCAGCAAGAAATTTCTTGACCATGTGAGTACCCAAGAAGGATGTGTGTCATGGATTCATGCGTGTGGTACATAATGTTTCAGGCAACAGAAATAGAAAAGGCTCGTGCCATCGCTCACCGAGCATTAAACACAATTTCGTTCCGTGAGGAGCAGGAAAAACTGAATGTTTGGTGTGCGCTGCTTAACCTTGAGAATCTTTATGGCACAAAGGTAAGTTCTTGTTTTATAAATAATTGTTGTTGCCTGCTGAAGGATCACAAATTAGGCAGTAACATCTTATACATTACTACAGGGCAGACTGGAAGGAACAGTTAAGATCAACTTCCCATGTAATATGAAACTACATAATCTCCGTAGTTGAAAGAGAACTGTCTGCCTGTGGATTTGCATAATTCACTGTTAAATTGGCTGCAGGCTGGGCTGCTAGTGTTCAGTGTCCAACAGGGCACAGTTTCTTCTCATCAACTTTCAGACTACTTCTGATGCCACCCCCCCCCCCCNCATCTTTATTCTGATGCCTACAGAGGGAGAAGCAACTGCAGTGTGATTCTAACCACTCACTGCAATTTAATGTTGTTGTGGTGTAGAATGTGTGGATCTTTACCTCTACATCCTTTATGCACCTTGATGGTACAGTGCTGTAATGGAAAGGAAACTTCGTCTTTACCTTTCAGTTACAAAATATAAATAATAAGTTATTAATTTTTTTAAATGCTCTCTGAAATGAAATCCTACATATGCCTCCAGTATAATGAATTTATCACATTATTTTTGTCAGCAATTAAGATTGTGAACAGAAGCTACATTTCTTGTTTTCTCCATCTCCAGGAAAGTCTGGACAAAGTCCTTGAAGAAGCACTTCAAATGAATGACCCATTTAAGGTCCATACACAGATGCTGCAAATATATGCTGACAGTGGCAAAAGTGAGGTACGTATTAATTATGTACTGGCTCATAACTAAGCCTGTACCTGTAGAACACAAAGGTTCAATACAGCTAATGCCAAAACCCACCATTGGACACAATCCTGGGTCAGTTCCATCCACTTGTGTGCTTCACAACCTATTGTCCTGCAGTCTTCTTGGCCTTATAAATGGCTGGTTGGCAAGAGAAATCTTTACATTCTGTATACATTTATTTCCCCACCATACTGCCACATCTAGCCTGTTTTAATCATCTTGATTTCAGCACCAGGTGATCTATACAAACCACACAGTCTGAATGAAATGCTTGAAGCGAATATTAAATTTCAAACCTGTCTTTGTACAAGATAGCTGCTGAATGTGCTCCATGGAATATTTAAATTTAGTTTCAATTCAATTTCATGACTTTCCAGTCTGATTATCTGAATGTTTTCTTCCAGGAAGCTGAGAAACTAGTATCTTTGCTCACGAAGAAATTCCGAGACAACAAACAGGCGTGGTTGCAGGGTGGGGAAGTGCTTCTGAAACTGGGGAAGCTTGAGAAGGCTCGCTCCCTAATGCAGAGAGCCATAACTAACCTGGATAAGAAATTACGTAAGCAATGTTAATTGGATTTTGACTGAATGTACATGCGTTTTAGAAAGATATGATCACTTCTTTTCCTGTGTAAGTGTTTCAGATTGTGTAATGTCTGCTTTCAGTATTCAGTATGTTAATGCTGCATAACCGTACGGTTAATATGGAGTTATTACCTGAAATTTTTCATGGCAGAATATTTTGGGTAAAAGTTACTGACATTGTGGGGGATCTTCCTGCCTCCCTTCAGTGTCATTTCTTTGCATTTTTTAAGATCATATTGAAATACAGTGGAACCCCGCTTAACGAGCATAATTCGTTTCAGAATCTTACTCATAATGCAAAACACTCTTTAAGCGAAACAATTTTTCCCATATAAATTAATGTAAAATACAATAATGCGTTCCATGCCGAAAAAATACTCAAAAAATGTTATGTATAACGTTTATTCAAAGAAAATTATGCATACATTGTTAAGGAGTGTGAATCATCTTCATCTTTTCTTCTATGCAGAATGAACCAACCTGGAATGCGAATTCGATTTTCAGAAAACAAACAAAAAAATCCATATGAGGAGCAACCTTTCAGCATCGTCGAGAATACATAACCGTTGCGTAGATATTCTTGTCACTCCCTTTGAAGCATCCATCTCCTTAATCTTGTCCTTGTTCTTGAGGATAGTCCAAATCGTTGATGTAGACCGACTGTATGTGCATGCTAGATCAGCCACACTCACACCTCGTTCTTGCTTTTCATTGATTTTACATTTCATTTCTACGGTTATTTTTATTCTCTTATGGTTGTCTTTTTGCTGCTTTTTCTTCGGGGACATTTTTGTAAGGGTTATTAAACTTTGCACACAAGTTTGGAAAAATGTGTGATCACAAGCGACACTAAGATGCTAGCGGAACGAATGCTAAACGCAGACTGATGTAGCAATCACACAATCCGGGACTTCCCCTCTCGTCACTTGTTATGTGAAATGTCGCTCATTAAGCAAGTCATTTTTTTACAATTTGTTTTGCTCATTATGCGAATTACTCATTATGAGAGGTGCTCGTTAAGCGAGGTTCCACTGTATATGTCTTTCCTTTAAACAATGCTTTTTATAATTTTTCTCATTTTCAGCTTTTCCTTTTTTTTCTTATCTTCCTCCCCCTCCATTACACTCACCTTTATGGTTGTCTTCACTGTAGCTGGTGGCATCATCACTTCCTTTTTTATCTGTGTTAGCTCCTTCCTTCTGGTTTACCTGTTACAGTGTTGTAAAACAAAACTTTCCTGGCATTTGCTTTGCAGATGTAGAAATTATCTCAAAATTTGCACACTTGGAGAACCAACTGGGTGAACCAGAACGTGCACAGACACTGATGGAACATATCCTGACTTCGTATCCTAAACGCGTGGATATTTGGAGCAGCTATGTCGATATGTTGGTGAAGAATGGACAGCTGGAAGCAGCAAGGTAAGTTAACTCTTCTTGTGCATCTTTTGTATGGGCATCAGATTTAGGGTTCACATATGAAATTCTACGTGAGCAGCCTCATGCTTCATATTCAGGTGAGCATAGTTATATATTCTTAAATAGTCAAGCAATTCTGCTGACCCTTGACTGCCGACGGTGACATCAGAGCTTGTCTGGGAGTGTCAGCATGTAGTGTGTGTCTTCTCTGGTCAGTGGGATTTAGGGTAATGAGGATGCAGGTGCCTTTGCTAGGGAAGGGTCAAGTGCTCCACTCATTGATCCTGAATCAGCAGTTCATCTGAACCTGTGTAGGCCCAAGGTTGAGGAGTGGCTGAAGGAGAGGCAGTACAAATTTTGGGCTGCTGCACTGGGCACAGGACAGTTGAAGCCCTTCATTGAAAGGCCTTTAAATAAACTGTCTAGGGACCTATTGGCCTTGAACAGGAAACAGCGTAACAGAGCTGCTGACTGGCCAGTGTACGCTGAGGCGGATCCTACGTGTTGTGGGCTTCTGGGAAAGCTCTGTGAGCAGGAGGAGGATTGTTGGCAGGACACACAGTCTTCAACTGTGCATGTTTAGAGTTGACAGACATGAAGAGGGCCCCAGTCAGGAGGGTGATGTCATTACTGTTATGATCAGAGCTCTTTGCAGCAAGGCCTGGACAGTTCAGGGGGTGCACAGTGGATATAGCAGTGCTCTGAGTGCATGTGATGACTAAGACTGCCCTCCCTAATTTATACAAATAAAAAACAACTATGGACATTATGGCCCTATTTTAAACTTATCTGTAGATCAGGCTTTACGTTTCAAGTATCTGGATACTGATTGTTACAGCCCTACTTCATATTTGTGAGATCCAAGGTTCACATTTTGACTTAGCTTTTATGATTTTCCACAGTCCCTTCAGGCCTCTGCAAGTATAATACCTCGCATTAGGCCGTGACCATTTCCCCATCACACCCCTTCCAATTCTTTGTAGACTGAGCTACTTCTAGCATTGTTAAATAAATATATTGTTTGTAATTTATATTTGTACATGTATGTTTGTGTGTTGTTAGTTTTAAGTGAACTCATAACACAAACCATAAATATGTTTCTTATGAATGTGTAAATGTAAAGTAAAGTAAGGGTAAATTTGTCCCTGTACTTAATTAATGACCACACCATGACGATTTGTGAGGATGAGTAAAGGTATAACTCCACATATTAACCTCGTCACTAGATAGATGTGCGTGGTCAGCTTCACATCACAGCCACTTAATCCCCAGGGAAAGAACCCCATTTGGTAGGAGTCATCAGGGTTGGCCCCAGAGCTGGTCTGGATACTTCGGAGAAGAGAAAAACCTCTTGCCTCTGCCAGCAATCAGCCCTCCAGTTTCTGGGCTCTTCAACCCATATCCTCTCACTATACTGATGAAGCTAACCCTGAAAGTGTTGTCAGGGTGTACGTGTTGCAGTAAACAGAACATTGAAATGATGAGTAATTAATTGAACTTTCAATTAAAAAGAATACAAATAATTATGAATTTAAATGAGTTGAAATTAAATGTTTGAGAGGGATCAAGAAATACACCACCAGTTGCAGAAAATTATAATCAAGCAAAACTGTACGAAAGAAACTAAATAAAAAAAAATATACACTCTTCAACGTGCAACTACACACCATGCACTACATTTCGGTTCAACTTTGAAGAGACCTCAGGTAAATTGTGTATACATTTTTTTGAGCCACTCTCCATTTATTCATGCCATGGAAGAATGCATGATTATAGACAAAACTGGTTTTCCCTGCAAAGCACATTGGTTGCCAGAGAAAAAACGTCTAATTGCACACAGTTGTATTTATGGATTTTGTATGATTCTCAGAATTAGCGGCAACTATTTTGCTAGACAGCTTTAGCTGGCTGATCTTTGTAATGGAGACACTATGTTTTCTGTGAGTTAGGGTCTGAATATTTAAATATTATTGAGGTGAACTTGAGGCTTCATATGTTTAACCCACATGAACAGACACTGGAAAGGTGGGTTTGAAGTCAGAACAGACATTGGCCTATTGTGTGGAATTACAGAAAAGGATATAGAACATTCTCCTGTTGGTTGTATGTGTGCGTCTGTGCTTTGCTGGGGATGGTGCACTAGAAGAAGCAGGTTTCAGTTGAGTCATGGGTTAGTGACCTCTGGAGCCAAAGAGTGGCCAACTTTGTCTCGTCACTGCCCTACTTCTATCAGACCCCTTTCTGATCAGTATTCATATCTTATCAGCACTGACCTGTATTTCTGAATTTCATCCATCACTTTGACATGGCTCTGTACATTTTTTTCTCTCTCTTATTTATATGAAATACATATTTCTGTTCTGCTTTTCTGTCTGGGAAAGGCAGAAGTATGATCTCATAATATCTGTGTGTGCATTTGTCCTTACCTAATAATTTATGAAACAGTTAATGAATTTTCATGAAACTTGGCATGGACAATATGATACTGGAGGTCCCTCAACTTTTGAGTGTTTAATCTCTGTCAGAGCACGCTGTTGGATTGCTAATGACAAGAAATTAAGAACTGTGTCATTTATAAATATTGTAAATTTGGAAATTCATTTTAAAAAAGATGATTTGCAGATGTGACATGAATTGAATTGGCTCTGGACATAGTTCAGGTGTGAGCTTTTATGATGACAGTGATGGGCGTTGGTTTTCACTAACAGTGGATACTGAACAGTGACGTCAATTGGGTAACACTGCTGCCTTATACTTAAAAGGTCCCAGGTTCGAATCTCAGCCCAGTCCTGACTAAGGTTTTGCGTGGTTTTCCTCCATTTCTACAAGTAAATGGTGGGATAGTACATTAAATTATGCCGCACTCACTTTGTTCATGTTCTTTGTAATTCATGATTCACCAATCATCCTACCATTCATCACTGTGTAGCCTGAGCTACTGTCAGTGTCATCAGAGAAACCGTAAATAAATAAATATTGTGTCTGCTTAATGAGGAGCCTATATCATGAAGTTGGTACTGTGATGTGTCTACTTCCAGCAAGAGAGGCACTGTTTGTAACAGCTACATAATTAGCCAGCATGGAGTGGCCAGCACTGTGTCCTGGTTGCGTGTGTTGCCCTCCAGCTGTGGCTGGCTGCATGGAATGTAGTTCCCTGAGAGTCGTCTGCCTGGTTTCACAGAATTAATTTTATTGAATATTGTAAGTCAGTTCCAACAGAGGAGTGGTTTTGTGGAATGCTGAAAGTGACAAGATGGTCGAAATGCAAGGCTTCATTACAGATTAAGTGGGTCCATTGTCACCACAGCAAGGCATGTGGGCAGCCAGTAGATAAGGAGGGTAGCTCTAAGTATCTTATTAATTTGTTTATTTACTAGGCATTCCCACAATCCATTCATAACATCCAATATTAAAAAATACAAAATGATGATGGAGAGAATACTTTTGGTAGATTCAGTTACTGGCAGAGTTAGTAATGTGGATTTGCAGTGCATATAGAAACGTGCAGGGCTGTAGTGGGGCAGCACAGTTCAGGGTGGCACTCCAGTGCCGTTTGAGTGCTGCCCCTGGAAGTTCTTTTAACGATAGTGATGTCACGCATAAGCAGAACTTAACGAGATCTAGTAAAAATTCTGTTGAAGACTGCAGTCTTCAGAGTTGTAACACTGTGTAGTTCAGAGGCAGCCTGACATTCAGAAGAACATAATGCCTCCATCTTCAGAGTTGAAGAGCAAGCCAAACAAGAAACCAGCTGAAGCAGGTAGCAAGCTAACAAGAAGTATTGTTATTGGCCATCTTTAAAAATGTAATTTCACTTCAGTAATGGAATATTGTATTCACAAAAATATTAGCAAAGAAAAATTTCATGTTCAGTGAACATATAATAACTTATAGTGTGCTCATTTTTTATCACTTCATTTGAGGCAGAAACATCATCCTCCTTGAGTATGGGGTGTTATATCACAGAAGATAGAACCCTTTAAACTCACTGCTGTGTGAACCTCAGGTCCTGCAAGGAGCAACCATCAGCATACCAAGAAGGAGTATATCAGTTGCATCTAAGCGGATTATTGGTCTGCCCAGTGGAAGCTGAGTGCTAAGAACCTGCACAGTGCGCTGAGGGTGGGACTACCCTGAGGTGCCTTTCTTAGTGCATGCACCTCTGTGTGGTAATGTAGTGGCCTAGTTGTTGGTTGTAAGCGGCTCATCTGGGGGTCTGCTCTGTTATCTTCAGAGGAAGAGTGGTCTAAGTTGTGCTTCACTTGCATGTGTTCTACTCTCATTTTAAATTCTTACGTATTTTTTTGTGTAAATTTTGTGTGTGCATTCTTTATTTAGGGACTGAGTTCATCCTCCTCGTCCTCTTCTTCTTCATCTACTACTACTAAAAGCAAATTGGTTGAAAAGGCAGTGCTTCTTATTCGTATCCCAGAAATGCCTGCTTCAAATCTCAGGTTGGATACCAAGTATCCAGACTGAACTATCCGTGGTTTTCCTCAGATCCAGTACATGAATGGCAGGCAGGATGTCACCTTGAAATAGGCCACAACATATCCTTTCCGGCTTATTATTTATTCTCAATTCTGTGATTCAGTTCTGTATGGTCTGAGCTACTGAGATCCTCATTAAGTAAACCATAGATAAATGCAGTTAATGTGCTTTGTCCATGAGGTGAGCAGTGGAACATACTTTTCACTAATGTTTCCCTCCCTCCATTCATTTACTATGGCCAACCCATCTGACAGCTTCTTGTCTCTGATGTAGTAACATGCATTACTTCAGTGCTGTAGACTTGTATTCATGAGGTGTTTGATAGGGTAGCTGTCCTGGTTTTGTGTTTTCTACAGTCCCTCCATGCAATTGCCAGGGCGCTTCTGTGAATCTACCATGACCACTTCCTTCCAGATCCTTTCCAGTTCTTCAGCCATCCTTTCATTTGATGTTATATAGTTTGGATATTGACAGCACCATGAAGTAAGCCACAGACCTTTTCATGATGTTTCATTGCTTTGTCACCAGAAGACATCTGTCTGAATAATGAAATTCAACTGTTCTTGTTTCAATCCTACATTTTGCCAAATTATAAAGTGAAAAGTGACATTTCATGCTGCAGTCAGTTTCACATATGTGTTCTGTATAGTAATACCAACATAACGGTATATAGGGAGTTGTAGCAGTAGCTGTTGTGCTGTAGTCACTTCAACCAGCAGAATGGGTCCAGAATCCATGATGGATAGGCTGGTTGGGCACCAGAACTGGTGCAGGCGCTGTGAAGAAGAGGAAATCGAACCCCTGGCCCTGCAGCCCTTAGACTGACACTATACATATTGGGCTTGGAGACAGTTTCAAATATGCGCCCACAGTGTCACAGTTCTGGTCCCCCCCCCCCCCCCGATCTAAGACTTATGGGAGAAAAAAGTGTAGAGGACATGAAATGCGTTTAATTCTGCTGTACAACTTTTGTGCCGAATATTTTGTTCTCCGATGAATATTTAGCGAGTTACACTGAAGATGGGCACAGAAACTCCTGTCTCCCGCTCGTGCTTACTGTTTGTGCTATGGCGCTGTGTCTAGTGCCCAGTGGGTGAATCGTTAGTGGTCGATGAATTAGAGAGGATTTGGAAAGAAGCGGACGTGGCCTATTCGAAGTGCTATGAAGGCATTTGCCTCTAGAGACTGAGTAAAACCATTGGAAATCTCAGGATAGCTAGTGTCCCGGCCGAGATTCGAACCGAGCACCTCGCAAGCGTTACCGCCACGCAAGCCTGCTCGGTACGTGGTTTCTGCCTTGAAGTTGGAGGCAGCATGTTCCTCCGAAACGTTTGTATCTCTAAGCGTCATATCTCAAGAAGAGCGCAGTCGTGTGCTTGTTTAACCCACAAAATGATAGGCCATTCTTGCGCGTACCAGGACTGAGCAGCAGTAGGTCTGCGTGCCGACAAAGGGAGATCATCACCGGTGGACATCGGCCCGCCTATCCGCCACTCTGATGAATAGCTTTTCGTGAACCGGTTAGGTAACACTTGCCGCCAGACCGCAGCGTCCAGTGACGGATGCTCAGTAGGCGATGAATTGGAAAGCATTAGGAAGGAGGCGGTCGCCGCGCTGGCCTGGAGGGGTTGAGGAAAATCCTCGAAAGAAACCTTTTTCAGGGTTAGCCTGTCTTCAAGTCGAGATTTGGAAAGCAGGAAGAATATCATGACGTAACAAAAGTGCTACCCAGCCGACCACATGTCTCTAAGGACCCATTTTTAGCCTACTTTCCTTATTTTTAAAAACCGAAGGGATTCTTATGAGAGCAGCTTGCTGTCTGTGTATCCCCCCCCCGTTTTCTGTGCGTTCCATGTCGTATCAAAGGAAAATAGGCGATTAATTCATCCCAGGCTTTCTTGTAATGTATCTTCCCGTGTACATGTAGGTTTTTAACTGGACTCTTCCCTACGTGTTTTCTGAGCAAAATATTGTGTATATTTATCATCTATCCCATGCGTGCTACATGCCCTGGCCATCTCATTCCGTTTGATTTTATCATCTTGACACTCGTTGAAGAATACGGAAGACACAAAGCAGGTTGACTCAAGTGTTCAGCATGGTTTTCCTCAATCCCTTCAGGAGAAATCCAGGATATTATCTCAGATTTGGCCACTACCTCTTCCACATCCTTTCAAATTCACTATTCGCTAATAGTCCCTCCGTTCGACGGCATGTATTCAGAGCTACTGATGTTAGTAACGATTTACCAGGCTACACGGCGTCTCATCCAAGAATACGCGAGAACGTCAAATCTCACATGTTATTCCACTGCTCATTCTGTGTATAACGTTCCTTGTCTCCGGTCTCTTGTGTTTCTTCCGATTATGTGAACGGCCTGCCGCCTGTGGTCAGAAGTTGTTGCAGGCTGCAGGTAAACAGCCACATTCTTGTTTCTCTGCGCCTTAATGGAGCCATGGCCTACTTCAACTATGAGGATCCGGAACAAGCACACCTGCTGTTTCTCACTCTCATGTCCCCGGGGCGCCACGCTGGGCTCCATTCAAACTCTTCAAGTACAGGCAGTTTCACAACAGCGGTGTCTCCCGGTGCCCAGAACTCGTCGTTACAGCGACTGGTCTACACGCTGAACGGCCAAGCGGTCGGGGTTCGATCCCCGACAAGGGAAAGATTTTGTTGTTCTCTATGGCGTCCAGACCGGCTCTGGAGATCACCCAGCCTCTTATCCAGTTGGTAGCGGGAGTGAAACGGCCAGGACGTGAAGCTGACTACTCACCTTCGCCAAGTACCGAGATAAAGAATACGTGGAGCTGTACCTACAGTCCCCGCTACGTGTTCATGGCATGGTGCTTAACCAGTTAATCACAGGGACAGCGTTACCTGTTGGGCGAGGGATCAGCTTCACATGCCATCGGCTTTACCCCCAGTGAACGGGGCCAGATGGGGACTTAAACGTGTCTGGACGCTGTGCAGAGGAACAGATCTGTCCCATACTGGGAATCAAACCCAAATTCCTCACTTACCCAGCCCGTAACCTAGGTAACGATGTGAAATTATTGCAGGAAGGTACAGATTTTGAATCTCGTCCAGGCAACCGCCTGCCGTGGCAAAGGTTTTTGCCCTGTCCGGATTTAAGAGCTTGAGAACCACTGAATGAAATTCCTACGAAGAGTTCTAGTTTCTGGGATATAACTCCGTACAATCCGTTGAAAGTCAGCATACGTTTCGGAGGAACATGTGACCTCCATCTTCTGGTTAGAAGAGTAAGCCATTAAGTGTTCTGCTTGCTACCTGCTTATGCTGGCTTTTTGCTTGGCTTAATCTTCGACCTTGAAGATGGAGACGACATGTTTCTTCGGCACGTCAGGCGACTAGTTATATCCCAGAAGATGTAAATCTACAAATTTTTATGAAATTTAATGTTAATGAGATTCACAAAAATGTATCCACACATTCCAATGTTCGCAATAACCGGGCAAGTACAGACACGTTGCACGAAGTTCTGCTTGCGCTTCTCCTGTCTCGAGCAGAACCACGAGTATAACTCTCTAAATATTTGTCGGAGCGAAATATCTTTCAAACAAAACTCACTTTATGTCAAATACATTTCTGCCGTAAGTCTTAAGGCGCGTCCACTATACTCGTGCTCGTATGACTCGCTATGCTCGCGAGTAATGTGGACGGTATGACAAGTCACGAGACAAGCAGATTTTTAATTTAAAAACTGTAGCCAGTAAATTAAAATAAGACTACAGTCTATACACACTACGTGTAAATATACGGATCCTCACGCGCCGAAGCCTGGCGAGCAACTGAAGTAGTGTAGACGAAGATTTACGAGCACGAGTAATGTGGACGCGCCTTTAGGGTTTTCGATTTAATTAAGAAGAAGCGGGCGAACGCGCCGGAAGGCCTCCCATGCAACAGAACAGCGGTAATACCAGAACCCAGCGCTGGACACGGCCCAGAGCCGGCTCCATCAACCCCAAAATCTTAGTAAGATTAAAATATAAAGTTCGGGGTGACCAGGAAAACAAAATAGATGTTGATGTAGCCTCAGAACCCATTTCCATGCTTAATGTTGCCCTCCCATCTGTTTCTTCCTCTTCCAAGTGGTCACTTTCCAAAGATAACAGTAGAATCTAATTAATCCTGATAGTATTTGCTCACCTAGTGATGTCAGCCTATATTGTGTTAGTAAGTAGAGTGATTTGGTTTGGGGTCAGTGACCAGGGTGCAATTATGACAAGACAGGGTCCTCTTTCTGTCACCACCACCAACCACTATGTCGAGACCAGCTCTGGGGAACACCCAATGTCCTCTCCAGTATATACTGGGGCCTTTATTCATCAGATAAAGTGACCAGTCTATAAAGCTGGTCAGTCATTGCCATGTAGAATATGTGGAACCTTGCCTTCGCGCCTGTTGTACACCTTCACAGAAGTAACTTTACTTCAGCACACTTGATCTGCAAGATCTACATTCTGGAATGCATGCTTATGTATATGGATATATGCTATTTTTGTTATGTATTTGGTTATTTTATATCGCTGTATCAAATGCTGATGGTATTGGTCATTTATTTAGCAGATGTCTCTGTAGCTCAGGCTATATAGCGTTGAATAGAAGTATGATTAGTGAATAATGAATTGGAAAGTGTGTGGAAGTGGTCGCAGCCTGATTTGAAAGAGTGTCCTTGGATTTGCATGGAGGGATCATGAGAGCCGCCAGTCGGAATAGCTTGTCTCCAGGGCGAGATATAAACCCAGGACCTCACAGATGTGAAAAATATTTGGTGAGAGTATGTGGTATCAGACGGTGAATTGGAGAAAAGCCGCCCCTTTCAAGGTATTGTGCTGGGGGGCATAGCTGGTTTCTGGACAGAAGTTCATGCTGGGACATCCCGAATGTGAAACAGGAGTGATGGCCCCTACATGATGACTTCCAGCGGACCAGTAAGGCCTGTGTGTATAAACTGCAACATGTTGGTCAAGCTGTTCACCGAGGTTGCAAGTGGGCAGTTTCAGCTGTGGAACTTATGACATGGCCTTCCCCATATGCTTTCATAGTTATGTTCTCTGTGTGGAGACCACGTAAGTAAACGTCTGATTTGCATAACATCGGTTCTTACAGGCAAGTGCTGGAACGTGGAGTGGCGCAGAAACTGCCTGCACGTAGGATGAAGTCTCTTTTTGCCAAATTTCTGCGATTTGAGGAACACCACGGTACACCCGAAGGCATGGAGAAAGTGCGGCAGATGGCCGTAAGTTACGTGGAAACAACAGCTGGGCGACTGGATGATGAGAACTAAGATTTGTTCGGTAAGTTAGTGTATTTGTGTTTGTTTGTCACGTTATTGTGGCCTTCTATCGCCCCATGGGCTGCTTAATTCTGTTGAAAATCTTAGGATGCCCACCAATCATGCAGACTCCAAGTCTGCCAGTTTTTCTAGCTGAGATGCGAAGCAGTTTGATTGGTAGGTGACAGTATTGTTGGTGTTCCAGGGATCGAATTTAGGGGATACTGGGTTCACAGTCAGTTTTCTTCGGCAGTCTTCACTTAGGCTTTCTGTTCTCCCTTGTTATTTTGTCAGTTCATTACATTTTATCTCTTTGATATCTGATCACTTACATTATGACTATATGTCATTTCATTTCATTAAATGTCCCTGCCTTTTATTACTTCATTATGTTAACTCTCTTCATGTTTTGACACACAACATTACATTGTAATTATATCATATTTTGTCACATGCACACACACAGTTGCTTCACTGTGTTGCATATTGTGATAGTTTATCACTTGATTACATAACATTTCTTGATATAAAATTTCACAGTGAAGATTCATATAGAGGTCTTCTGGGTAAAAGTCAATATACAGGTCCACGAGTATGTAAGTAAGTAAGTGTATCACAAGATTGAATCCGTCCATATTTTATGAGATCTTTTTGAACTTATGTTTCTGTTTCGTTGACAGCATAAGATCTATTTTCAGAAACACGTCAGCTAATGCTGTCAGTTCTAATTACTTTGAAGTCATTACATTACATCTCTTGATATCTGATAGAACAGTTGCTTGCTCGTGTTAGGGAGCAGGGAGCAAACAAGCAGATATGCTGATTTGAAACAAATCTCACATAATTTTGGACATATTATAATCAGTTGTGAATAATCAATGTACATTTCGATTTATCCTCATTTTAATATCTCTTTGACAGGATAGACACTGCATTTAAATTTGACTTGCCCACAGTCGACAGAAACGAAGAAAATCAATGAGGTAAGGGTATTATGTGTACTATGGAACTGAATTTAAAATTGTATCTGCAAATAAACATGAATTTTTATATTTAAATTGTATTCTCTTAAGTTCAAATCTTCTATTCCAAAATTGTAACAGCAGAACTTTCTGAGGCATTACATAATCCCCATGCTTCATCTTAACACCGTTTCTTCCATCGTCACATATTTAACCTTACTGATTTTCCTCAAGCCCCCAGAAAAATTCTGAGATAATTTCTTAACATAAGATTATAACCGTTTCTTCCTGTGTCCTTATGAACCAGACACTTAACAGTGGACTTACCGTTTCTTCTTTGACACTACAACCCATGATGGTGATAGAACATCATTTAATGATCAGCAAACCTCTACTCTGCTGACAAGATAAGAAATTATAGTATTGTGTCTATGTGTAACTGCCTTCTGTATGGGTGTGAAACTTGGTGTGTGACATTAAGGGAGTAACATAGACTGAGGGTGTTTGAGAACGGGGTGTTGAGAATATTTGGACCGAAGAAGGATGAAGTGACAGGAGGTTGGAGAAAACTGTGTAATGAGGAGGTTCATAACTTGTACTCTTCTCCAAGTGTAATTAGCATGATCAGGTCAAGGAAGATGAGGTGGGCAAGGCATGTAGCACGAATGGGGGAGAAGAGGAATGCATATATATTGGTGGGAAAGCCAGAAGAAAAGAGACCACTGGCAGGACTAAGGCGTAGGTGGGTGAACAATATTAAAATGGATCTTAAAGATATAGGATGGGATGGGATGGATTGATCTGGCTCAGGATATGGACCAGTGGAGGTCTCTTGTGAGCGCGGTAATGAACCTTTGGCTTCCGTAAAATGCTGGGAAATTCTTGAGTAGCTGCAGAATTGGCAACTCCTCAAGAAGGGCTCAGCTACATGAGTAAGTAAGTAAATGTAACTGCCGTTCTGTGGAGGAAATGCTGGTGCCTGCCTATCAGACGGAACAGCATCACATCTCAGATGACTGTAAACTTGATAGTCACCATCGTGAGATCTGTATCATACAGGTAGCTTGTCGATTGGCTCAACGTGCAGCTCTGTGGAGACAGGCACACACCTGACTTGTCTCTCAGTTAAGTTCCATTTCCTCAGAATATAACATGTCATAATTGTAAGAATGTATTGGATGCCGTGGATGTGTGTCAGGTGGTCGACCCAGAAACCAACGTAACACTGGCCTCATCTGTAGGACTCGTTTCCTCTCTCTGTGGCTCCAGGCCAGTGATGCCTCCAGGCAGCTGCACCACACCCAGCCATCATACCTAGATGCACACAGCTCAATAAACCTGCTCGACTGCTCCTCCATGAGGAGTGAGAAATGAAGGCCGACAAGCAGGAATCTGCTTTATTTGTTGATATTCACTGCTGCTCTGTGCAGACTTGAGGCAGTAAACGATATCCTGTATTCATATTATGTGATATGATATGTCATGATGGTTAGTAGGCAGGGTGTGCTGTGTGGAAAATTTTTGGCAAACTGGTGAACTGAACCAAGGTTTGTTGACCCCTGATTGTACAGGTTGCCTCTAATTACCTTCTGGTATTTTTCTCTTAGCTCTAGTTCCCTGACACAGCCAGCAATGCAGGAACAGAGTAGATTCTTATTGCGAACTGAGTATGTAGAACAGAGAAACTGGTAGTGTCTCATTTACTCTGGAAACCTGAAGGTTCATTACTGTGTTCACGAAAGCCTCTCAGGGCTCCATTTAACGTTTTGTAATATGCTGGCTTTTTGTAGTAAGGGGTTGTCAGTCCCACACAACCCAGAAACTGGAGGACCACCCCTTTTCAATTGCTCTGTAAAGCACCATGGCAAGTGTATATGCCACATGCTTGGAACATTAGATATTTATGCATGTTCCCTAGCAGTGTATTTATGTCTTTTCTATGAGTCTAAAAATAAACAGCGATCATTTCCCTAAACATCATTAATGGGTTGATATTTGTAATAGAAGCACTGTGTAATTGTTGTTGTTTGTGTTATGAGCTGACAGTATCTCAGACTACACAGCATCAAAGAGTAGGATGGCTAATAAAAACAGCGAATTTGCAAGGATTTGGTAGAAAGTGGTTGTTGCCTAATCGAGGTACTGTGTCGGCATATGCTTAGAGGGTCTGAGGAAAACCACAAAAAAATGGAAGCTACTCGATGACCGGGCCGAGATTCGAACCGAGCACCTCCCAAATACAGGGTTAGAGCATTACCACTTAGTTGGCTCATCCTGAAAGGGAAGAAGCAGGAGAGAACTGGATAAAGAGGCAAAGAAGATAATATTTATTTCATTTGTGGTCTATTAATGACTTATCACACATGTTCGGTAGGAGATCTTCCACTTGGAAGACCTAGACATAGATGGAAGAATGTAACAGGAAATAGGAGGATGTGGACTGGATTCTTCTGTCACAAGATAGGGTTCAAGTGCAAGGGCTTGTGAACACAGTAATGAAACTTTCGGTCCCTTAAGGGCAGGAAATTTCATGGTTAGCTGTGCGACTGTCAAGTGCGCTGTGGGGGCAGTTGCTAAAGAAACAGCAGCTGTTCCCCCCATGGAGCAGGTAACCACGGTCCTTGTTTGCAATTGAGGCTGCAAAACATGAAACCTCAGACAGTTGAACCAGGAAATGTGGTTTCGGTCGAGCGGGCTGTCTGCCGGCAAAATGGACGGCATCTTCCTGTCCAAGCAAACAGCGCGCGGTCCACAAACTACGTAATTACTGTCCGTGTTTTTAGACCTGGTCGTTTACGCCAGAATGCACATGGGTTTGGTCAAGTCCAATAGCTGAGGTAAGGGCCTTAGTTACAATGCGTCGTCCTTCCTCCCTGCACACCTCCAACCACTTCCCCTCAATTTTTGGTATATTTCTCCTTACCAAAAAAACTCAGAGGCCAGATCACAAACCACAACCCTAATTTAGGACTAGAATATGTAGTTTATTAAGTAGGTACCAGTTTTTGGAGGAGCCTGTTGCCTCCTCCTTCACCCTGAAGATAGAGGCGCCACATCCCAATAGTCACCGCTGTGAGAACCTCAGATATCACATTATAATTTATTCCCTGACTTACTGACTAATGAACTAACAAACAGTTTTATGTTTTGGTCTCCCTTTGTAGTCTGGTAGGTTGTTACGAATGTTTCGGAGGAACCTGTTGCTTCAGTTTTCATGTTCGGTTAAATCACAATTTCTGATGTGTCCGTCAAGGGCCGGGTCAGCGGAGAAGCCGGGAGTAGAGATGGGAATAGCCTGACACAAGTCCCATACAACTGACATATTAACTAGGCCTGTATGACGTGCGCACGGGGGAGCCAGGATGGCGTAGTCGGTATAGCGACTGCGCTACGGGCTGGACGACCGAGGAGTCGGAGTTCGAGTCGCGGTAGGGACAAGAATTTTCTCTTCTCCATGTCGTACAGATCGGCTCTGGGGCCCACCCACGCTCCTATCCAATGGGTATCGGGAGTAAAGCGGCCTGAGCTTGAAGTTGACCACCTCCAAACTTCTTCCGAAGTCAAGAGAACGTGGATCTATACATCCACTCCCCCATATGCCTTTTACCTTATTTTACCACCCTTACATCGTAAGGAGCTGAATTCCACCGAACAGGCTCACTTAGAGATAACGCCTCGGGAAAGTCAGCCGGGGACACAGGCTATCCTGTCTGAGGGTTTTCGTTGTTTTCCTTAGCCCTCCAGACAAATACTGGGATAGTACTGAAACATCGCCGTTTGGCCGCAGTTGGGGCGATGCTCCGAGGAGGGGACACACCCGCCGTTTGTAAGCAGTTACCGCAAACGCGACGCCCTGTGAGGTGTCACGCTTGGACAACTGTGCCCTGTTTACATAAGGCGAAACCTTGGTTCATTTTCATGCAGGCAGAGTAGAACTGACCTTAGCAGTTCTTTTGATAAACATCTGAAGAAACAGAATTCTTCAGCGCCAGCCATCTGCGCCGCGACCAACGTCAGGCCGTGAACAGTTGGTCCAGTGTAGGGTCCCACGGTTCCACCCAGGGAGGTAGTAAGGTGACGGATGGGGCTGAGTGGCCAGTTTCACGCCCCTAGCGCTTTACCCACGTGTGGAGGAGCTCGTGATGTGTGTCTAAAAGGAGGCCGGGTGGGTCCGAGGGCCGGTCTGGACGTCTGCCCCCCCCTCTAGAATCGACCTCTGACTTCTCGGTTATCCAGCTAGTGACCATATAGTATGAGCTACCGAGGGTCCACTTTTTATGTTCCCTTTGTTTGTGTGTTCATAACAGACAACATGACAGCACAGTAATTGCGATCTGTAAGCTATCATGGCGGTACATCTCACCGCATGTGTTCATCTCATGTACCGGGATAATACTAAAATGTATCTTAATGTGGTAGCGCGGTTCCCACGGTCCCGCAGATTCAGGAATTGTTGTTGCTGTATCTCACGCGGTGTAATTAGGTGCTTAAACACCACACCATGAAACTTATGAGGGATTGGAGCTATACTCCAGTCTTCACCTTCGTTCTAGGTGGAGGCAGGTGATCAGCTTCACGCCCCTGCCGCTTTGCACCTGAGGAAGCTGCTTCCTGTATCCATTGGCTAGGAGGCTGGATGGGCCCCTGTCCCGACCTATATGCTGTAAAGAACAGAAAAGGATTCCCCATGCCAAGAATCGAACTCTGATTCCTTGGTCGTCAAACCCATATCCTAGTCAGTATTGCGACTAATCTGAGACAGATGAAGTCAAGGTAAATTTGTCCCTGTGCTTAATTAAGCGCCACACCATGAATGGAGGTACAGCTCCACACATTTTTACTTCGGTATTAGATGAAGATGGGCAGGTTCACGCCCCTGCCGCTTTACCCCTGATACCCATTGGATAGGAGGTTTTTCATGAGAATGAGATCCCGATTATCCATCGTCCATTCCATAGCCTTGTCACTGTTCCGACTAAGCTACACAAACAAACAAAACACATCAGCAAGAGCTCGGTACACTCATGTGTGTCTTGATCTGTTCTCATGCCATGTGTCTCAGCATCGTGCCGAGAGAGTGCAGCGCTGGTTTTCTGTATCAAAACAGAGGCATCGCCATTTTATCACGAGTACAACCCCTCGGAGCTATGAATAAAGTAGGCCATGAGAGCGTGGAAGTGGGACTGGGATTCTGTGTCAGAGATCACTAAATTAATTACAACAATCGTATATTCTCTTGTTGGTCCGCGCTAACTCACGATAATTTTGTTTTTAGATTACATTTCTGTTCTTGTAACGATGGCGTGGGCTCTCACGTAAAGATGGCTGAAGCTGAGGAATGCAGAAGGAATTTAACAAGGAAATAAAAGGAAGTTTGTGGCAGCCGACGTGACTATAGGCGGACAGTAGTAGTCTATTGAAGCGAGACGCACCGCTGAGAAAATTATAGCATGATGAGCTTCCCAACTTGTATTCCTCACTTGACATTGTCACTGTGATGAAATGGGCCGGATATGTAGAACGTTTGCAGGACATATGTATGATAGCTTCATTACAGAGAATGTACAACTTCCGATTTCAAATCCACGTAAAGTAGGGATCTACTAGGCAAGTGCAGATCAAAATTAAATTAATCTCAACAACTTTTCGGGTATCCCCTCCCCCAGTACTGAATTCAGTCCAGATGCTTCATTGGCTCCGAACTGGAGTACCAAATTTCAGTTCCTGCCAGTAAAAAGTATTTGTTTTCCTTGTTCGCTCCTATATTCAGACAGGCTCTGGGGTGAACCCAGCCTCGTGTCCAGTTAGCTACTTTCTCGGGAGTAAAGTGGTCGGAACGTGATGCTGCCGAAGTTGATAACGCATGGAGTCATGCCTCTATTCCTCCATTCGCTTTCACCGCTTGGCGCCCATACACTGGAACAGTCTTACCTTATCAAACAAGAAACATGGCCGTGGTTAGCATTCGGACTTCATATCCGAGAGGTTCTGTGTTCGAATCTCGGTTATCGTGACTGGGCTACTCAGTTCCTCCTGGAAAGTGCTGAGGTAAATCGACGTCATCGAATAACCCAATTTCAGTCGGCGCTCCATATCTCTTACAGTTGACACTAATCAACTGACTGCATTGAGTGTCCTTCATGAGAAACTAACAGTCGCTCATCTAGTCAAGAAATTTGCGTCCATTTATGAAACCGAAGGCTCTTCGCCGTGTTCACAGGAGTTCAACTCTGGCGCCAGTCTTGAGCCGGATGAATGCAGCCCACCTCCGCATATGCGGTTTCTTTAACATTCACGTGAATGCTGCCCTGTCATCTTGACTTACATCTTGCAAGCCGTATCCTTGAAGTTTTCTGGAACTGAATCGTCGTCATTAAATTACCAAAGCTGATAGGACGATCGGTATAACGACGACTTGTGGACGACCAAAGCTTCTGAGTTCGATTTCCTGCACGTACAAGTGATTTTTATCTTCTTCACAGGGTCCAGACCTGCTCTGAAGCCGTCCCAGCCTAATATCCAGATACGCACGGGACGGGATTCTTTCCCTTGTTGGTAAAGCGGCCGAGGCGTGAAGCAGACCACTCACCTTCGTCTAGTGCCTAGGTTAAGTATTCGTGGAGCTTACGTCTTCATGGCATATAGCTTAACTACGGCTATCGAGCTATAGAGCGATGTCTTGCACTTGGACTTGAAGGCCCTCCCTCACCCGAGGCAAGCTCACCAGACCGAGTGTTACGCAACCCAGGGAGTTCCTAGCAGCTGCAGTCATTGGCCCGACTCTACAGGTTCATTGAACCTCGTCTTCTTATTGGTCCATAATCTTCGCTGCACTTGAATTCAGCACACATCAGAGTAGTGTAGTACTCTTTTCGTCCGATGTGCGGAGGGGAAGTGCTTCCGCATCTGTACCTGTTGCCCGGACCGCTGCCAGTCTCTGTGCAGGTGCCGCGGAGGTAACATGTGTAGGTGAAGTAGTGTCACAGTGGCTGCAGCAGATAATATTGAAGCAGTAATTGGTAGCAGCAAACGCTCGTCTGGAAGTGACATTCTGTATGGTTGAATATCTGACAGAATATCCGTGAACGTTTCATCATTAGTGACATTGACTCATTATCTAGTAGAATATCAGTGAACACTCAAACAATAGTTGAACTGGATGTAACTCATTGTCGAACATTTTAGCAGAAGTTATACTGAAGACGTTTCGTAGTCTAGTAGATAGAGTTAGATGCTTGCTCTTCTCTCTGTGTATGCCTGAGCCCAGGTATGACGAAACACATCAGAACACTGACGTCACATTTAATGTAACAGTCTTTTTTTTTCCATTGGCGCTACAGCCCTCATTTGGGCCTAGGCCTACCTCCATGAAACTCTCCGTGTAACAGTTAAATACCAGTGGTAAAACATATGTAAACACAAAATATAAAATGTCCTTTTGCATGTCACGTGACAACGTGAAGTCAGCTGGAGACAGAAATAAAATTTCTCTAATAAGAAGCCACTACGGTGTCTCGCGAGATTAATGACATTTTGATTACAAGGAACGGTTTATGTGAATGTATATTCATATATTAATGTGCGTTTAGAAAGTTTTGACAAGAAACGAAAGTTTCCTGTAGTGAAATTCACTGCTTGCTAAGTCTGTCGCTCTGATCCTCTGTGACAGGAACATTGACGAGGTGGCTGGGTATGCTACTAGGACTCAAACTCGCACTTATCTGATTATAAAAGGCGGCGGTAGGATGATGAACCGACTAGACAAGTATTACGAGGCACATCCTCAGCAGTTGATGCGTAGAACGCACCACAACATGCTGATGCTGCCCCCACCCCCTCTGGTGGACACTTCGCCCTCTGGCTCCAGTCAGTCCCGCTCCTCAACATGGGCAACATATCACAGCGGCAAATCGTCTTCTGGCAACAACGGATTTTCTGTTTTGGAACGTGGCGAGCGCATAAAACCGGAACGATCAAACAAACGGAATAATGTTCAAAAAATGCAATGGAGAAGTTCAAGGTGGGTCAACGGTTTCCCGTACGCCGCTTCCGGTGATGAGGATTTTGATAATCGGATTAGTTCCATGACAATTGCGGATGTGAGCCCACGCTTTGCCGTTAAGCGCATTATCCTTCTGTATGAGAACTTCCAGTACAGGGAAGCAGCTAACTTCATAAACCGACTGAGCCACGGGACGTTCAAAGTGATCCTGAACGACTTGCCTATCGATCTGTTCGTGGAGTCCATGCCCCACAGTTTATCCATTCTCGAAGCGCTGTACGCCAAGGTGTTCCTGTCGGACGGACTGAACTTCAGCATGAAACTGCTGCGTCCGGAGGGCGTCATCATGCAGATGGTGAAATTCTTTTCAAACCAGGAATCGATCGATAAAACTGGGGATAAGAACTGGGAACTCTGTGGACCGTTCATCTGCAGCTGCAAGAAACTGCTCAAAGTGATTGTCCTATCGGATCCTAAAATCAAGAAGGTCCTGCAGCAGAGACGTAGGTCACTTGACAAGGCTATTGAAGGTCTGGGTCAACATGGCCTCGTGGGCACCACTGACGAAACGCTGATGAATTTACACGATGCCCTCAAGATGGAGTTTCAGAGGGTTGTGGAGACGTACAAGGGGGCTTTGCAGAAACTGGAGGAACTGTCCCTGGCCAGTAATAAGAACGGAGTGACGCGGGGCCCGGCGCCGGTCCAGGCGTCCCACCAGCGCCAGCTGTCCCTGCGCCAGCCCGAGATACAGGAGCGTCTCATCAAGAACAAGACGCTACTGAATGTGGTGGAGCCGACGCTGGGCAACCACTCGCTGGACATCCTCCTGGGTATCCTGCAGCGGCGCATAGAGTTCGACAAGGATGTCTTGTTCCAGTTCACGCAGCTGCGCAAGGAGATGAAGGACTTGGTGGAAGCAAACTCAGTGGTGGCGCCGGTCCTCATGAGGTTCTCTCACGGCTGTGACCAGGTAGGCTGCACTCTTATTGTAGTAATACGGCGACGAGAGAGACGGAGCTAGAAGGTTGCGATGTCGCTAGATCTTTCTCTTGAATTGGATTGTTATGTATTGTAAAGCGGAGAATCAGCACACGGTGCACGGAGTCAATATTCTCACTTAACTCAACACATTCGATTCGGGACGCCTCAGAAGAGGAATGTGATACGGGCTGGAAGAGCGTGGTTCGACTTCTACTAGGGCCGGAGGTTCTTCTTCTTGCCACCACTGGGGATCACCTCCTAACTAATGGGTACCGTGGGCTATTTCGCAGGGAGTGAAGCTGTTGGAAACCGAAGCTGACCACTCACCTCCATTTCCGATGTTAAACATACCTCCATTCTTGCATAGGTCTTCATGTCGCGGTGCCTAGTTAAACACAGGGATCATATAAGTGTGTACCTCGCCTGTGCGTAGTCTGACTTTCCCGTCAGTGTTTTTCTTGAAAATAACCGTACAGTGCCACTGATACGAAATGTCAACCCGAAACAATTTGTTTTCATGAAAGCATGTGGTGACCATAACGAGAGTTGTCTGACTGACTTGACAGCTATCCGCCCTGTCTTGCTGCTTGCAAGGAGTTTTGACATAAGTCACTATAGTTAACGATTGACGTCAGCACTTGTACCAGGAGGGCTAAGAGCAAATCCTATTTCGGTGACTGGTTATGGAGGCTTCGCTGCACCCTCTGTGCGGTACAGATGTTCCCAAGCATCCTTAGTCCGTGTCTTCTCTTAAGTTTCTCTTTATCACGTTCTATCTGATAATTCTGCATGAGGTTTCTTACTGCTAACTTAACCCTGCTTTCTCCCATATTCATGTCCAGTCCTGTATGTCACCTAATGATGCGTCGAGACCGACGTTGAACTCCATCTCCCACGAATAACACGCACAAATAGTCAGTCGTAAACCTTCTTTGTATAATGTACTGCAAATCACATATCCACACCAGAACATTATTAATAATCACTAAATGGACTGGATAAACTGAAACAGAAGACTTCTCGCTCGTTCTAACCCATTACATAACTTACGTTCATACACATGTTAACGCTCCATATAATTCTTTGCTATGGTAACCCAAAATTTTGAAATGACAGTGATAACTCTCGTCGTTGCATTGCCTTTTTGGGGGGAATGATGGAAAGCTTGGTATCTGAGGACCCCCCCCCCCCTAAGGATTATTGGAGATAGAAGGAATAACACTCGATTAAAGGGCCGCCCACTAACTTCGTCAACAAGCGGCGGTCGCTCGGTCGGTATAGTTCGGTTGCGGACTCAAGCCACGGAGTTTGTTTTTTGTTTTGGTAGCTCATTCAAATAGCAACGAGCTACAGGTTGAACGGCCGAGGAATCGGGGTTCAATTCCTTACAGGGACATGAGATTGCGCTCTTCTCCGTGGCGTCCATACCGGCTCTGTGACCTACCCAGGCACCTGTTCAATCCAGGGATCCTTTCCCGGAGTCAAAGCGACCGGAGCATGAAGCTGATCTCTCGGCTCCATCTAGTGCCGATGTTAAGAACGCGTGGATATATACCTCTGCTCCCCCACACCTAATTACTTAATTAAGTACGGGAACAACTTTGCGTCTTTGTAACATTCAGTTAAGATATTCAAGTGTAACGATACAGTTGTGAAGAGAAACTTGGAATGAGGATTGGAATCGCATCCGAAAACTCTACCGCAATACTTGCACGTTGCCACCGTACATATTGGCAAGGGCACGGAGTGAACTTCGTAATATCTCTGTTAGGCCGGGACAGAGAATATGCACTTAGATGTTTAGGTAAGTTAAATCGCCCCATAACTTTCAGGCAGGATCGTGTTTTACTGAAATCTTGACGAAACTTGCTTTCGGATGAATGTTACCTCCTCTTCATGCGTTCATTTTTGCAAGGAATGCATAATTTCTGTCAGCTGTTCACAGGAGATGCAGCGCGTGTCTGTGGTGTCTGGGCGCTCACTGCGTGGCGAGCCCATGTCTCCAACATGAGAGGCACATCAGTGTGATCCCGGTTGCATATCCTGCCAATCAGTCATCATCACTTTGATGGCTGTTCCCTCCTTTGCAGATGCTGTCTCTATGCCGCAATTGTTTCGTATAACGGGATTCATATGCATCACAGTTTAAGCAGTTCGCTCCCTCTGGCGGCGTAATAATCCCCTGCCCGTCCATCGTCTTCTTGGTCTCCTCTTGATCTCTGTCATGTATATTTTAATTCCTTTAATTCCCCCCCCCCCGGTTTACTTAACAGTGTCCAGACTGTGAAATGTCGGGTGGTTGGATGGTACCTGAATGGCAAGTTCGAAGGGATTTGGAAGGAGGCGTTCCTGACCTAGCTGAGGTACTTTCCCAGCATTTGCCTGGAGGGAATGAGGAAAACTACGAAGAGCCTCAGTCAGGATTGCCAGATTCGAAACGAGCGCCTCCCGAATGCAAGTGTGGAGCGTTACCGCTACGCCAACCCGCTCGGTACAGTTGAGTGGAAGGATGTTTAAGTGAATAATAAATTGGAAAGGATCTGGAAGGAAACGGCCGTGGCCTAATTTGAGCTAGTGTCCCGGTATATGTCCGGAGAGCCTAAACCACGAGAACCCTGTGTTACCGTAGGTGGCCTCTGAACCGGGACTTCAACCCGGGATTTTTAGATGTCTGGTTTATCTGAAATTGTGTATCGTCATCCTTTGTATCTGCATGACCATCTCATCATGTTTCACATGCAGCCCCCGCTTCAGCTAAGTAATGTTATCGACATGAAATTTCTCACGCTTGTTTCAAACATTAAAAAAAAAACAGAGAGAGACATTTCGTGTCTTTTGTCATTAAAGACATTTGTGCCGCGGAAGCCAATAAAAATACGCTGCTGCGTGTAAACATTATGGCCGTCCAGAAGACTGAAGAAGAAATAAAATACACCCGTCCATGTATCATTTTATATGGATCCGGTTAGTAACGGGTCCCGTTATTGTGCTGTTCGCTCTTTGTTATGCACGCTCTTCTACCCGCTAGAGACGGACGTGACCAGAAAGGAATGTGTAATTTTTCATTTGAACCATTTAGAACTCTCTTTTTTTTTTTTCAGAAATCTCTTATCGATGGATGCAAAGCTTTCCTAAAAATTGGAATTTCTAATGTATAAATAACACTTGCTCTGTGTTCACGCATTCCGTCTCAGGCCTTGTTGTTCGTGTTGTTGCACGGCCATCCGCACTGCTTGGATGCATAACATTGTTGTATGTTGCACTTCATATCTATAAGCGATACTTGTATGTGTTTCCATTACGTGCAGTGTACACAGGACACCATTCGATCCAGAACCTTTTGTCTTCTCGTCTGATATCTAAAAACGTAAAAATTAGAATATACAGAGCTATAATTTTGCCTGTGGTTCTGTATGGGTGTGAAACTTGGTCTCTGACATTAAGGGAGGTACATAAACTGAGGGTGCTGAGGAGAATATTTGGACTGAAGAGGGATGAAGTAACTGGAGGTTGGAGAAAACTGCATAATGAGGAGGTTCATAACTTGTACTCTTCTCCAAGTATAGTTAGAATGATCAAGTCAAGGAGGATGAGGTGGGCAGGGCACATAGCACGAATGGGGCGAAGAGGAATGCATGTAGAATATTGGTTGGAAAGCCAGAACGAAGAGAGCACCAGGAAGACATAGATATAGATGGGAGGATAATATTAAGATGGTTCTTAGATGGGATGGTATGGACTGGATTGATGTTAAAGATAGGGACCAGTGGAAGGCCCTTGTGAATACGGTAATGAACCTTCGGGTTCCATAAAATGTTGGGAAGTTCTTGAGTAGCTGCGTGACTGGCGGCTTCTCAAGACGGTCTCAGCTCCATGGGGTTCTTATACACAGGACTGGTTTCTCTTCCCAAATAGTGGTTCATAATTTCTTCTCTTCAACAGATAATATTACACTGAAGAAGTAGTCTCAAACCTTAACCCATACCCTGCAGTAACTGGCTACGGGGTTGAAGGCTGGGATTTGGGTATCGGCAAGTTCGCCACCCCCTCCAGTGGCTCTTTCTTCTGAGAGCTTGACACTCACCTCAAGCCTATTGCTGAAGTTAAGAATGCGTGGAGTTATAGCTCCAATCCCCCATACGTATTCATGACAATGTACTTAACCCTTTACAGTACAACGGTAATTATATGTACCATTGCTTTAATGTTAAATAGGTTCATCATGTCCGCCTACAGTGTATTTATGTGTTCCGAATAGTTCTCACAGCAAAGAGACCGGTTGGGAGATGCGAGGTACCAACTGGCTCTTCGTATTTTATTCACGCGAACTTCGGACTTCTTGTACGGCTCTGCATGCCTTCGCGCTCAAGTGCCGAATAACAGGATGGGAAGTGATGACGGCCTGTTTACAATCCCAGCATTTGCCACGAGGGACTGAGATGAGTGGCATCCGGCCCAAGATTTGAAGCTGGTATTTGTCCAGCATGAAACAGAAGCACTAACGGCTTACCAACTGACCAGTCGGTCCATACAAACGCCCCCTTTCCAAAATTTTCTATTATTCATTTTATTCATTCATCCATCAGTGGCTCTGCAGCCTCCTTTGTTCGGCTCTGCCCTCTTTTTCAGATCCATAGTCCTATTCACAGTCGGTAGGACTCCTTGGAAGGGGATCAGCCCGTCGCAAGGCCGCTGCCTACACACAGGACGGCACAAACACAGAATAAACTCACACAGACATTCATGCCTCGATTGGGATTTGAACCCACGATCCCTGTGTTCAAGCGGCTGAAGACAGTTCATACCATAGACGGCGCGGCCAACCATTGTCCAGTATTCTCGTGGTTTCTCTTGTGTCCAGATAGACGTCCAGTGACGTTTTGTTTACTCTAAATCAGCCGTGTCAAACATGCGGCACCCATAGCCACAAAGTGCGTCCCCTCAACTTTTAGAGCTAATTGATATTAAAATCAATATTACAATTTTAGT